AAATAACGAATTCTAAGGCAACGCAAATATTAAGGTTAAGAGGCTGAGCTCGTAGATGATGATAAATAACATAGTTATGTATATTACATTTCTGACTGTATATCCCTGTAATTATTACACACTGTAGCTTTAAAAGAAAGTCTAAATATTTCTTTATTCAGGCACATATTTCTTCATATAGCTCAAACTAAAGACCAGAACTCAGCAGCTACATTGATTTATTCATTCCTTTTTGTCACTGATTGCACTTTAAAGAACCCCTCTGAGAGTCAGATTTCATGCTGCAATATCCTATAATATCCTGTTTAAAGGTTTTAGTTTCTTTGTATAGATAAATTCAGACTGGATCACGGCCTTCCCCAGCTAATAATTTGCGGTGCAGGTACCTTGACTTGCTGCTCTGTCTGGCAGCCCGTGGATGGGCCTGTTGGCAGGAGGCAGCACAGGATGAGGAGGTAAGTTTCTGTCATTAGCCGATTCTTTAGAAAAGCTCACATAGGAGGAGGTCTTTGGCTGGGAGGCAAAATACAACAATGACAATGAGAAGATATTTTGTTTAGAAAAAAGTCTGGCCACCTCTGGGTAAAACTGTCATTTTCAATTCAGAGTACTTCAATCATCTTGAATTGTGCTCTGCTTGAATTCCTTCACCATGAATCACATTAATGTATCATTTGAATTCATTTCCAGCATTACATAATGTTAGAATGTAAGAACTGCTACTCAACAAAAAGCTTTACATTTTTAGCTGGTCAAACATTTTCTATTATCACCTTTTCAGGAATGTGAGGAGGCTGACCCTCTGAGTCTCGTCTTTTCTCTCTCCGCTCCATCTTCTCAGCATCTCTCTCTTCATCTCCTTCCTCCTCTGTACCAAGTGATGAGAGAGAATTGCCTGTCATTTAAGTCTTACTCAGAGGTTTTTCAGCATAAAAACCTGCTGTATGATCAGCAGCCTGTCAGTATGGATGACTGTACCTGGCAGGGTGACTGAGTTCTCCCGCCACTGTCTTGGCCGGAGGCGGGACACGTTGGGTTTACTGCTTTGTGGTGGGGGGTCTGGTTTTCTACTGGCAGAGACACCACTCCCTGCCTTGCCACTGCCCCTCCACCCATCTGTGGAGCCTCCCCTGTCTCCTTGAGAGTCAAGTGGATGCCACTCTATCGATGCTGTCTCTGTGCTTTTTGAAGGGTCCCTCTCCTGTTTGGGCAATGGCGTCCTCTCCGATGGGTACGGAGGCAGCGGCTTTTGTGCCAAAGGAAGGTTCTGAGCTTGTCTGTCCACCGTCCTCCCTGTGTGTCTTCTCCCCATCCACTGATTGTCAATCTGGGCCTCCATGGGCCTGTTCTCGGACCACGATCGTTCAATCTGCCTCCCACCGATCCACTGTCTCTCTATTTTTCTGTCGATCTGCCGTTGGGTGTGTCTGTCAACAGTCCACTGCCTCTCCATATGTCTACTCTCAGTCCAGTACCAGTCGGTCTGCCCGTCGGACGTTCTTGGGTCTCCAAGGTTCATGTCTTGTAGCCTGTCACCAAAGCACTGCGTCTCTGGGAGTGGATCGCCAGGCCGGCCCTCCACCAGCAAGTCCGCTTCTGCCTGCAGCACCTCAGTCCTCTGTTTGTCGTCCACCCAGTATTTGTCCGTCTCCACGTGCTGTTCAAACACAGCGTCCATTTCAGATATCTGCCAAGACACCACACAAAGCAAACTGAGCATGGTTGAAATAAAAGCAAAGTTAGTGAATGAAAGACCTGAACATTACCTCTCTAGGAGAGTATAAGGGGTGTTTTCCTCCATCCACGCCAGGCTGAGGGATACTGGGCTCTGGTGGCAGACTAAGAGCACCTTTTCCTTGTTGATCATTTATCTTCCCATCAGACCCATTACTGGAAGACCTTGCCGCTGGCCGGGGAGCCTGGAGAAGTGTGTATACATTCTCCATTGCTGTCCTAAAAGAGTATGAGCAACAAACTGATCTAATTATAGTCCTTCCTTTAATAATAAGCGGAAACTTCAGCGCACTGCGAAAGCATTCACACCTTTTGAACATTTAGAGATTTTAATGAGGAGCAACCACAAACACGTTTTCCTAAAGGGAACTTATATGACAAACCATTACATAATTTAAATTGAAGGAAAATTATGCAATGAGTGTACCTTTCATGCAGATTTAGGGATTGAAATGTCATTAAAAAAAAATCTTCTAAAAGAAATTTGTGTCTCGACTTTCACTTGACCGTCTTATGGTATCAAAATTAAAAATTTAAATTATTTCTGCGCAGCCCTTAACCTGGTTCTAGTCTTTTTCTTTACTGATTTACAGTATTTGCAAAAAGTAAGAACATCCCTTACATTTTTTGTACATATTTCATTACATCTTTTCTTGTGACGACACAAGTCATGAGAGTTAATCCAATGGAAGAAAAGTCAGTGTAAAGCTTGTATAAGGATATAATTTTAGATAATTTGCTGTACCATCAATATAACACAATATAAATTATGTCTTAAAGGTATAGTGGAGAATGTTAATTTTCCCCAGCTGATTTAATTGTCAATCCTTCTGGTGATATGATTACGTAAGGCCATTGTACGTGCTTGTCCCCATTTTTCACTACAGGTGGTGAGTCTGATATAGCGGGAAAAATTGTAAATTTCTTATGGAAAGTAAGCTTGTATGAGCGATGCATACAAGCTTACAAGCCCGATCTTACTCGTTAACAGCCTTTTCGAGAGAGTCCACAGCTACCGGCAGCCTGATCAATGCCCAAATTGCCGCCGATATCCTCTGTAATTGAAGATACATCAGGTATCCTCCAAATCCAAACAGGAGAAATCCGAGTATCATAAAAGCAAAAATCCACACGACTTTTATATCCTACAGTGACAGCATTGTGAAAAACACCATCCTCCACGCTTTCCAGGAGTCCATGGTGTATCCCATGAAGTATGTCCTTGCAGGACATGACAGGTTCCCTTTTCTCTGACTTCCAGTTGAATAAATTTGACCAACTGCATTTAGTGACCAGTTGACCAGATACATTTTTCTTAGTTCAGGTGAAATGAAGAGAGAGCTCAGAAAAGACAAGGCACAGCAAAGCAGGGACAGGCAGGGAGGTGTAGAAGCAGCAGGGAAAATGCTATTGATGTGGAGACTGAGTGTAGGATCACATCAAATGGTTTTCTCTCTAACTTTTCTATTTTAGCCCCAGTTTAAGTCTATGTTTTGCTCAGTTAAATAAATATTGCTCAGTCTAGTTTAATAATCTCCCGTTGGAATTTAGCACTAATTAAACCAACACAAAGATTCTAATTTTTAAAGCTTTCAGGTTTGCCTCAAAAACCCACAGGATGTCCACAAAAGGAAAAAAAAAACATTGCATTTTATTTTTCAAAAGATCAGCCACCAAATAAAAGACCAACTAAATACAGAGAGGATCCAGGACTGATAGGGGAGGAACCACAGGGATTTTCTCATTTTATTATAACTTATCTTATTAATTTATCCTTATTTTGGTCTATTGAATATGTTAACACAATTTCCATCACATTTTCCAAATGAAACATCCAGAGAAGTGCTGTCTTTAATCCTGCTTATTACCAAACACAGTATAGTTTGCAAGGGATTTGATTGGATTTGAATGCACTGGTTCCTGTATTAGTGCCAGTAATAGCTAACTAATAAATATAGCAATAGTAATAATAAATTACTTGAACAGTATAGAATAATTAATAAACAAAGTTTTGAAATTCTTAGTTTACAGTATATTTAAGATGCAAGTGTTTTAGTAGGGCCCATACTGCTTTAGTCCAATGCTCTAAAAATCACCAGAATATAGAAAATAATGTATATTGAGAGAGACATGTTCCACATAACTACGGATAACTTGTTGTTACTTAGTAACATTTCCTGTTCTATAAAAATTTCACAGTTTGCCACTTTTTTTCAGTTAAATCGGCTAAGAACTTCCCAATTATATCTGCACCTGTCCTCATCAAATCATGACAGGGTTTCCTGTCCAAACAATTTCTAAATCTCACCCCAAGGTTTGGTGAAAGAGTAGTCTGTGCTCGCTGGACCGAGTCAGACTGCCTTTTTCCTGCGATGGCGAAGGAACTGAATGCAGTGTTTTTATTTTTCCTACGATTAAAACCGAGTTAAATGCAGTGTTCCCTGAAGGCTGCTGCAGCAGAGACAGAGAAGAGCTAATCCAGCTCTGTTTACATGAACCTAACCGCCGAACAACGGGTCCCCCAATCGCTGTTCCCAGAGGGAGCAGTTAGAAGCTGCCAGACCAGTGACTGCCTGCGACAGAGAGACGGAGCCACACTGAGGAGGTGCTGTTGGAGGCTACGGCTAAAAGCTAACCACCGTAGCTAAAAGGTGCTACCGTGAATTTTGAAATTAACCCCCCTTGCAAAATTGCCTCTCATAATTGCATTGGATTGATCTAAATCTCTCTGGGTTGCTGTTGGATTGAAGACCTGCAGAAAACCGGACTAAGCTTAAGGCCTTCACTCCACTGAATCATAGCAGTAACATCATTCCCCCATCACCCCCTTTTATCTGTTGCTTAATAAATAATATTTCCTCTGCTTGGGTGAACTAGGTAGAATAGATAGTCGTGTTTGTGTTTTATTTGAAATAGGATTTCTGATTCAACTGCTGATGGTTTTAAGAGTTTAACTGAATACTTAAGCTCACTACAGACTACATGAGTCACGTGTTGCTGAAGCTAACTGCTACACTGGCATTGTAGCTCCATGCTACTTTTAAAGGACACTTTCAATGCATTAGACCTTAATGTTCGAACATCCAACAACAACTTTTCCTTTTTTATTTTTGCTTATTTCCAGTAGTGTTTACTGTTTGTTTAGTTATATGATACTGTGTGATTGTAGCTAATAAAGGTACCATTTTGTTTTTATTTTACACAGTGAATGATCTATCACTCAGGCTGAAATTACTCTTCTTTTAGTACCATCCAAATGAATAGAGACACATTTATTTTGTTGGTGAATAATAACGTTGCTGATAGCCACAGTCTAATTTACTAAATTCCATGTCCCAAGAGCCAGTTTTTTTCAGGCGAAGATCAGAACACCAAGGCCCCCGCCCTTGACTGCCACCCATCACACATTGCACCCGACCCCTTTGGCCCCTCCTCAGGTGTCAGGCCCATTGGAAGGGGGACCCATGCTTCCTCTCTGGGCTGCGCCTGGCCGGGTTCCATGGGTAAAGCCTGGACACCAGGCGCTCGCCAGTGTGCCCCACCTCAATGCCTGGCTCCAGAGTGGGGCCCCGGTGACCCGTTTCTGGGCGAGGGAACACTAGGTCCATTTGCGTTAAAGTCATAAGAGGTCTTTAGGCTGCTCTTTGTTTTGTTCACGAATGAGGGGAAGATGGAGCGGGAGATCGATAGGCGAGATTCGACATACAAGTGGCTGAAATTAGTTTTCTCCATAGTGTGTCTATGATCTCCCTTAGAGTTAGGGTGAGGAGCTCAGTCATCTGGGGAGCACCTGCTCCTCCACATCGAGAGGAGCCAGTTGGGGTAGCTCGGGCATCTGATTAGGATGCTTCCTGGATGTCTCCCTGGTGAAGTGTTCAAGGCATGTCCCACCGGGAGGCCCGGGGCAGACTCAGGACACGCTGGAGGGACTATGTTTCTCCGCTGGCCTGGGAGGACCTTTGGATTCCCCTGGAGGAACTGGCCCAAGTGGCTGGGGAGAGGGACACTGGGCCTCCCTACTGAAGCTGCTACCCCCATGATCCGACCTCGGATAAGAGGAAGAAGATGGATGGATGGAGAGATTCCAGCCGGATTCAGGAGTCCAACCTTTTAGTTAAGAGGCTAAATCCCTCGCCAGTAAGAAAATTACAGTTAAAATCATTCAACTGATAATACCTCATTAGTTTTACCCTTGATTTGAATGACCTATTAATTAATTATAACTTCCAGTTCTACTTATTTAATATATTCATACTCTTCTGGTAAACACGCACAACAGAAACTTCCTTATTTATTGTAAATATCTGCTAGTATTATCTACGTTTAGGAAGGGTGGTCATTTCTAATCACTTGGTTGCCAGTTGGAACCAAAACAGAGCCGCCAGCTGTCAGCCACACCTGAGTAACGATCTTGGTTCTGTTGTTTTTCTCTAAGTTTTCAGTTTCAAGTTTAGCCAGGTTTTTCCTTGTTTTCTAGCTTTATTGGTGTGTCTGGATTCATTTAAGTTGCTTACGTTTTTCTGTCTGTCCTCTGTTGCCCCCTTGTGTTCTTTTCCCTTGGCTTACTCATCAGCTCTAGTCACACCTGCTCCTTATCAGCTCATTCATCTAACCTTTTCTCACCCTGGCTCCTTGATGGTTTTCCCCTGATGTCTCCATGGTTCTGGTTTGTGTTTGATTTTTAAGTTGGTTTTTTGGATACCTGTTTTTGTTGCCTGATCTTTTATTACACCTTTGAAGAACTCACCTCTGCCTCTCAGCCTCTGCATTTGGGTCCTCATAAAAACCTCCAAACAAACCGTGACAGCAGGAACCAGCCATTATGGACCCAGCAGAACTCAGCACGGACGCCCTGAGGAGAATCTCTCTGACTCTAGTGAATGCTCTGGACTCCATTGCAACTCTCAGTCCACCTTGGAAGAGGGTGGGTGCGGCTGACCAATTAAAGCCGATCTTCCTCTCTAACACCTCACTTCTCTCACCCGCAGTTTTATCAGAACTGTTTGAAGAGTTGGATTGGAACCGTCAAGCCACCTTCGCCCAACTCTGCAATAAACCTCCACTACCCAAACCATCATTCCTTCACCTTCCCACTCTACTGTCTCTCTCCTCCGATCATGTTTCTCAGCCATCACCAGCTGTTGGTCCTCCCCTGCCATCTGCTTCCTCCACTCCCTCTCCGGCGCCTGACTCCTCCACTCCCTCTCCGGCGGGTCAGCCTGACTCCTCCACTCCCTCTCCAGTGCCTGATGCCTCCACTCCCTCTCCGGCGGGTCAGCCTGACGCCTCCACTCCCTCTCCGGCGGGTCAGCCTGACGCCTGTTTCAGTCCCTTTCATAACCTGGTTAGTTTCCCCTATGGCAGTCCCTCTCATAACCTGGTTAGTTTCCCCTATGGCTTCAGATGTCACCTCCATGACAAACAGCTAGCCTCCAAGGCCCCTCAGCGGGCGCTCCAAGCCTCCAAGGCCCCTCAGCGGGTGCTCCAAGCCTCCAAGGCGCCTCAGCGGGCGCTCAAAGCCTCCAAGGCCCCTCAGCGGGCGCTCCAAGCCTCCTCTGAGGCTGTTCCTTAGCCGCAGTCAGCGGCGTCCCCCTTGGAGGCGGCTGCTGCAGCCTCAGAGACGCCGTCCCCCTCGGAGGCGGGTGCTGCAGCGGCAGAGATGGCGTCGTCGCTGGCCTCCTCCTGAGGCCCTCCTTCATCAGAGACGGCGTCGTCGCCGGCCTCCTCGTGAGGCCCTCCTTCGTCAGAGACGGTGTCGCGGCTGGCCTCCAGAGACTCTGCCTTGCCTCTGGCCCCGCGGCCGCCCTCCAGAGACTATGCCTCGCTTTCGGGCCATCGGCCGGCCTCCAGAGACTCTGTCTGCCTCCGACCCATCGGCCGGCCTTCAGAGATTTTTGGTTGTCCTCGCCCACCCTGGGTGGGTTGCTTTTGCCCCTCTCCATGCCCTGACTTCAGTTAAAGTGAGGTTCAACTGGAATGATAAGGTTGATCAGGCTTTTCAAAAACTTAAGCTCCTTTTTACCTCTGCCTTTTGGTATCCCCTGACCCGGATAGGCAGTTTATTGTTGATGCCTCTAGTGTGGGTGTCGGAGCAGTGCTCAGCCAGAGGACAGAGGAAGGCAGAGTTCACCCATGTGCCTTCTTTTCCAAGAAACTGTCTCCAGCAGAGAAGATGTGGGCGACAGGGAGCTCTTGGCAGTCAAGCTGGCTTTGGAGGAGTGGAGGTACTGGCTGGAGGGATCTAAACTGCCTTTTCTTGTGTGGACAGACCATCGGACTCTGGAGTACCTCAGGACGGCCAAGAGGCTCAACCCCCGACAAGCCAGGTGGACCCTTTTTTTTGTCAGTTTCATTTCACTCTCTCTTACAGACCTGGTTCCACAAACGTCAAGCCTGATGCTCTCTCACGAATTTTTGGAAGAAGACCATAATCAGGCACAGGAATATATCCTCCCTGATTCGGTTCGGTGTGCTGTCACGGTTTGTTTGGAGGTTTTTATGAGGACCGAAATGCAGAGGCTGACAGGCAGAGGTGAGTTCTTCAAAGGTTTAATAAGAGATCAGGCAACAAAAACAGGTATCCAAAAAAAACCAACTTAAAAATGTTAAACAAAAACAGGTATCCAAAAATCCGACATAAAAATCAAACACAAACCAGAACCATGGAAACATCAGGGGAAAACCATCAAGGAGCCAGGGTGAGAAAAGGTAAGACGGATGAGCTGATAAGGAGCAGGTGTGACTAGAGCTGATGAGGAAGCCAAGGGAAAAGAACACAAGGGGGCAACAGAGGACAGACAGAAATACGTAAGCAACTTAAATGAATCCACACACACCAATAAAGCTAGAAAACAAGGAAAAACCTGGCTAAACTTGAAACTGAAAACTTAGAGAAAAACAACAGAACCAAGATCGTTACAACCTGTGCAAATACTATGAAATCAGTCTGCTTTTGCTCTGGAAGCTTGCAGTCCTCCCTTATGTCATCATAGAGAAGATAGAGATTTAGAAAAATGTTTCATGAGAATTTATCAGCTTAGAGCAGCAGGTTTGTCCTGGAGAAAAAAAAAACATACTTACCCCTAGAAGTATGAGCTCCTAGAAATGCATTGAAAAAAAGGTTTTATCGTTTGAATTTTCTTACTTTTTTATTTATTTATTAATCAAAGGTCAACACAAAGCAGTGCATAATTGAGAGCAGGAAGGTATTTTTTTACCATGAAAAATCTAGAAAGTGTGGTGTTTATTTGTAATTTACTCCTTCCAAAAAAGTTTAAAAAACAATCCACTGGACTTTGTTTCCAAGTTTGAAAACGTTTCGCTTCCCATCCAGGAAACCTTTTCAATTTAAAATGTCACAAAAAGCGTTCAAGGTTTTATAGAGTGGACTAAAAACAAAGCCTTTTATGGATTAGAAAACATTCAAATTGAATGGGTACGCCCCTTTGGAATGGAGGTTGTTTGGCTACTTTATTAGTCTATATACCTGATACCTGTTTATGTCTCTGCAAGGGGGCTGTAGGGGGAATTGTTGGCCTGGCTAAACAGGCGAGGTGTTCTGTTCCCCTGTAAGGGGGTGGGGGTTCCGATGATAGTGGGAAGGAATCAACTCTAGTGCTGAATTGTAGGTTTTTGAAAGCTGAAATCTAACTCTCTCTGTTTAAAGTTGTTTTTTTCTTTCTTAACATAAATGGCTTTCTTCACACCCCTCTCAAACCACCTATCTTCTTTGTCTAAAATGTGAAAATTCTGGTCCTCAAAAGAATGTCCTTTGTCCATAAGGTGTAGATGTACCGCCAAGTCTTGTCCGGAAGAGGTAGCTTTTCTGTGTTTGGCCATGTGTCTGTGGAGAGGTTGTTTGGTTTTTCCAATATAAAGATCAGAGCATTCCTCACTGCATTGAACTGCATACACCACTTCTCTCATATTTGGTTTTGGGGTTTTGTCTTTAGGATGCACTAGTCTAACACTAGTTTAAGGATCTTGTTTGGTTTGAAATTTACTGGGATTTTGTGTTTGGAGAAAATTATCTTGAGTTCCTCAGAGACTCTAGGAACTTATGGGATGGCGATAGTTTTGCATTTAATCTTCTCACTGTTATGTTCTTTTGGATTTCCTTCCTGATTTGACCAACATCAAGTTTGGGTATCCACAGGTTTGAAGAGCCTCTTTGATGTGTTTCTGTTCTTTGTGCTTCCCTTCTGTAGGAACATAACAAAGAAGCCAAACGACCCCATTCCAAAGGAGCAGACCAGTTCGTCTATTTCAATTTTCATGTTTTCTAAGTCAAAACAAGGCTTTGATTTTGGTCCTCTCTATAAAGCCCGGAACAACGATATTTCTGACATTTTGAATTAAAAAAAGCTTCCTGGATGGGAAGCAAAATGTGTTCAAATTCAAAACAAAATTCCAGTGGATAGTTTTTTTTTTATGTTTTTTTTGGAATGTCTATGACCTGGATGGCTGAGATACTTCACCAGCATAATGTACTCCTGTTATTCTGACACCTTTAAACAAAATATTTTACAGTTGACTGCCTTTAACAGCTGCCTAATTAGTTTGTGTATAATTTGTATCTATCTGCCTTTTGGAAAGCCGATCTTCAGCAAGGATAATTAACCTGGTCAAAAATGATAGGAAGGTAGATGGGGCTAAACACAGAAGAAGCTGGTTAGACTGGGATGGAGGTTTATCTTCCAGCAGTGTGGAATTAATAATATTCCTTGCTATGAAGACCTTATGTGTAGAATTCTTAAAGACATAACCCCAAAATTTCCAAGCTGTAACTGCAAAGCAGACATGTTCACAAGTCATTTTTTGCAAGTCCAAGTCAAGTCTCAAGTCTTGAGAGCTAAAGTCCAAGTCAAGTCTCAAGTCTTGAGAGCCTAAGTCCAAGTCAAGTCTCAAGTCTTGAGAAGGCCTGTAACAATTATCAATTAATCGAACAATAAATTCTAATCACACGATTAATTAAAATAAGTGCAATAACTTGCGTGCTTGCTTCTCCTTGTGTTTTCATCTCCGTCACTGAGACGGTATAGCTTAAAGGTTACTATTATATCTATGGAATGATCATTATCTTGAACTGGTAAATGAAAAATACAATTTAAAAAAGCACACACGCAATTTTTTTTCCAGTTAAATTTTGCATCTTTATTTTTTTTCTTTCAAAAACAACAAATTTCTTACAGTATTTACCTGACATTTGTGGTTACAACTTTTTCTAGGTTTAAGAGTAAATGCTCTTTTATTTTTAAGCGAAAATGAGGGCTGTGGGAAAAAAAAAAAACAATCACAATCCTGCTTTTTATTAATACATATGAAGTTAGCAAGTGCAACAGATAAAGAAAAACCCTAAATAAATACCAGGACAATAACAATTCTTTCATAAAAGAAACATTGTGGCAATAACTTTTTGTAACTTAATGCCCTGGAACAGACAGAACAGACTTGGCGGGCAGTATTTTAAATTCAATTCAGTTTATTTATTTAGTGCCAATTCACAACATTATTCACAACTTATTTCTCCTCTACGACCGCCATGAAGTTTTTAAAGCTTGGCTTGTCGATCATGCATGCATGTGCACGGGCGCGGGGGCATATGTGTCACGTAGCGTTGCGTCAGTGACGTCAGTGCTGCGTGACAGTTTGACAGCCCCTCTGCCGTTTTTTTTTTTTTTTTTTTTTTACCTCTGCTGTGTGCGGGTAAGGCGAGCAGCGATCAGTCAAGTTAGTAAAACAAAAAACACTTAAAAATAAAATATTGTTCACAAGTCAGAAATCACGAGTCTCAGTCGAGTCTGAAGTCCTTCATATGCAAGTCTAAGTCGAGTCTAAAGTCATTAAATATGCGACTTAAGTGCGACTCAAGTACGAGTCACAAACTCGAGTCCCCATCACTGCTGCAAAGTAACCTCTTTTTACAGAGGTATTAGGGAATTGAATATAAAAGAATGGGACACTTGTCTGATTTTTATCTGTAAAAAATGTTTCATAATTTTTTTTGCCTTTTTAGAACTTTGTGTTGGTTAATCATATGAAATCCTAAGACATGTAGCTGACACAACGGGTGAAATCTTTAAATGAATGGAAATACTTTTGCAATGGGCTGTGGGGAAAAAAAGATGTAACCTGCTGAATTTGTGTTACTTTCAAGGATAAGCCATTCCAGGGGTGTGTTTGTAAAAATCTCCTTACCCTGTGGATGCAGTAACAACAGTGTGAGACCCATCTCCATAGACCTCTGCTTCAGACTTCTTACGGAAACCGAAGATTGTCAGCATGTTCCTCCTTTTCTTTCTCCTCAGCGAGTGTGCTTTGTGCAGGGAGGAGAGCTGACTGAAAGTGGGGAGAGAAAATATAAGCTAAACACTCCAATACACAGTCCAGTTCGGCCCGGTCACCTCGCTGGTTCACAAACAAGCCCATTCTATTAAGATGTCACCAAATTCATCACGGCCATTTGGGTCGCTTGTTTGTCTACAGCTGCAGTTGGGGCTAGTTTCTAGGCTACATGTCTTCAGAACACAACAATAAAGCTTAAGTGCCCTTTTATATATATATATATATATATATATATATATATATATATATATATATATATATATATATATATATATATATTTCAGAAAAACACTACAAATTTAACCTGGTTAAATGCTGCTTTAGTTTTAAAGTAAGCTATATGAAAAGCTTCTTTACCTTCAAACTCAGTTGAACCAATTTTTTATTCAAAATAACATTATGTATCCACTTATGTTAATAATTTGTATCGTAGACATATTTATTTTGTTTTTGAAGTTAGATTACGTGTCCATTTATTAAACAAAATAGTATTATATCTCATCTGCAAACATGTGCCTACATGGTTGGACTATTAAAAATGCTCTCTGTTTCTCTAGTCCGAAATCAGACATGCTGTACATTGACAGGAACCAGTTACTGGTCCTATTGTATGGATTTTAAAAGATTAGAATCTTTTTAAGACACTTTTTGGTCATACTATACTTGTATGTTGAGAATTTTAGTGAAATTTCTGAAGGTAGAGTAGATATCCATCCATCAACACCCTTGTTTATAGATGCTGGAGATCGGCCTGTTTTCCAGTGTGGTCCTGTTTCTCTGACCATGACTGGCTGGATGTGCTCTCTCCGTCCTCTGGCATGGAAGCTGGCTCAGAGCTCGTCTGCCTGGCTGTGTGTTTCCTGGACGGGGCCGCCTTTTGCAGCTGCTTTTTGTGTCTCTGCTTCTGTCTCCTTGAACCCCAGTCGGCCTCAGCAGATGGCCGCTCACTCTGAGCCTGGTTCTGCTGAAGGTTTCTTCCTGTTAAAAGGGAGTTTTTCCTCTCCACTGTCGCTACAAGCATGCTTAGTATGAGGAATTGTATTTGAGTCAATGCAATCAACTGGTTTTCCTTAGATAGAAAACTTTGAATCAATTTGACTGGATGATCTGGTTGAATTGTAAAGTGCCTTGAGATGACATGTGTTGTGAATTTGGCGCTATATTAATAAACTGAATTGAAATTGAAAATTGAGTATCCCTGATGTGTGGAACATTCATCGCTTACTGCAAAAGCAGATCTCAACAATATGTAAAAAATGCTTCAATATTACTAATCACCCCCCAAAAATAGCAAATAAACCATTGCGGGAAATTTTTAATCCTCAAAACAAGATTAGGCGGTTTTTGTTTTTTCCTTTTCCTTTCATTTTATTCCAAAATTAACTTACATACAAGTTGCCTGATATGTCTACTGCATTCAGTAAAGAAAATTTACAGCTGGAAAGCCACTGAATGAAAACTAAGGGAGCTCAATCTATCATTGTTAGTAGGTTAACGTTATCAAGCTAGACTAAGGTATGTGCAGTGAGCAGGTTGGCAAAGAGAGATGAAAGAACTAAAAAGAAAAATGTGAAATAAAAACATTTGCATAAAAACAACAGCTACATTAAAACCCTATCTATTTCTTATCTGGCTTTATCACCTTTATACCACTCTAACTCATCTCATTGATTGATTGTCTGCAACTAATCGATAACATTGCAGTGATGTTGCTTCGTCTCATCTGAAGGTTCTGCTGCAGTAACAGTAAGTTCCTAAAAACCTTTTAAATGAGCCAGTTAGAGTAAAAACGGTGATGTTGCAAATGGTGCTCACTTTTTCCTGAATCAGATCAGAACTAAAAACCATTTAATAAGCATTTAAAAACACAAAATCTTAAACTGTTGCATTAGACAACTACATCCTAAAATTATAAACATATTTTTACTTCTACATTGAAGATATCTATTTTGATCTGGTACACTGTTGTTTTTTTTCGGAAATGTAATGTAATGCCTTTTTAAATTAATTTGTAATTACTTTATTGCTATTGGGTGTATAAATCATTGCTGCATATGACTTTAGAGGAGTTTTTTTTTATTTGTTTAAAGGGCTATATGAATTACAATGAGGGCAGTCCCTATTACAATTTTGTCTCTTAACACACTTTACAAACTTCAAAGAAACAATTCTGTTCAGTCTATTGGAGTATTTGTATAATGCAAAAGGTATTTATGTTTAATATTTTAAATTTTCTGTGAAAAGTTGGAAAGAGGAAACTGAATAGAAGTTGAAAAGTAAAATCTAAAAGTAACCTGTGGCAAATACATAGAGTGAAGGAAATGTGTAAATTAAACTGATAAAGTCTGTGGATATTCTGTTAGTAGAGTTTCAGTTTCAGGATATAAATGCAAAAGTGTCTCCTACCTGTCTGGTAGAACTCGTTTTGTATAAAAATCTGGGAGTCCATCATCCAAAGGGCTTATTTCTCCATTTTCGCTGCAATGCTGTGCACACGCAGACACAAACATTCCTCTCAGAGAGGCTTTTTCTGTGGGTTTCATTTGTAAAAAGTTATTTATGCAATAAAAAATGGATTACACTGCATTCAGTGAGATTACATAATACATTGAAGCCAAATTGTTTGTTTAGATTATATCTGACAGAGACCAGAATCACTGCCAGCCAGCCCAGATACCAGGAAGCATTACAGTTATTTAAATATAGAGTTTGGAGTGAATAAAATAGTTGATTAATTGTAACAAGTAACTCTGGCCTACTGTCTCAGAGGGGACATGTACTCCCCTGTGTCTTCTAGGAGGCCTTGGACGAACTCGCGTTACATGATGGAGAGGCAGACCCTGCGTAGGCAGGTCTGACAAACCCTCCCAGGATGCAGAGTGGGACAGTGGTGAGCAGTACGATGGCACAGAGGGAGGGGGAGAGGAGCTAGAGTCGTCACATAAGCCTGGTGGCAGAATGGAAAAAGTAACAAAAAATAAAGAAATGGTAATTTGATGAGATCCAAGACATGATTGACTCAGAGCTTAACAGGGATATTCTGTAAGTGGATGAGTACTTACTCAGCCTAGTAGAGACGGGCCGTATTCTCCTCGTTCTGGAGCTGTGCTTCTTAATGGCAATCGTGTCCTGGGAGAATAGAAAGAAGACAGAAAGAGAGGGGAAAGAGACTGTCCTCCATTAGATGAACAAAACATGGTACTGAATTAAGCCATGTTAAGAGAAGATATAAAAACAAGTTCATAAAAAGTACGTCAACAAACAGCTGGATATATATGAATAATTCACTCCTGTCTATGAGGGTAAGGTTAAAAATAAATCTGAGAGCTATGGGTTAAAAAAAAATGCTTAACAATGCCATTAAAAACAGGAATGCTAAATCTACAGGAAGATTTATGACACCGTGTAGAATATGACAGCTGAAAAATTTTTTTTTAAAGTACATATAAACTATCCGTATGGTTTGGATTTGCATCATCAAAGACATCTGATTAAGATTTCATGGCAATAGTTCAGACAAAATTGTGCTGAATTAAAATCTCAGCATCAGTTTTGAGACAAAAAAAGTGAAAAGATGAATAGAAAATATAAAGAAACCTATTAAGTTCTAAGAATTGTAAACAGAACAGTAAAAATAAATAAAATGTTTACATTTACAAAGAGAGACAGAAATATTTGTTAAATCAAAGGAGCATGCCTGTTGGGTCCACAGGATTGTGTGCTGAGCTGTGTGAGGGTTTTTTCTTACCTTTTCCTCCTCAGACTTCAGCCCGGGCAAGCCTCCAGCTGGTTCCAATTGGACGCAATCAGGGAGGAGCATTTAGAGGAGTGGATTCCCTGGGACGAACGCCAGTCAGTTAAAATTCCATAGTAGTAACCTACCTGCTAGCTCGGTCTAACTGAACATTGTGCCTAAAGACTCAAGCTTACCTTCTTGTCCTCCTTCTCTGCTAGAAGCTTTGCTGTCTCCAAGCCGGTTCTCCACTCAGTCCTCCTGGATCCATCCTCGAACGATCACCTGCCTGTCCACCCTCTGGAGCTCTCAAGCCATAAACCACATCTCAGCCAAACTCAATCCCTGTGTGCTCACCAACCTCCTCCCCGTCCGCTCCTCTCTCCAAGGAACAGTAAGAAATCAGCATCTTCTCTTAAAAACTCAGTTCCTCTGCCAACGGTCTAACTGATCTCTCTTCCTGTGCAGTTCCAGTCTAAGCCTCAGTTCTCCGAACCACCACACCAGTAAAATCTCCAAATAAACATGACTCGTATTGTGTCTGCACCAGAGTCTACTCTAGAATCATGTCAGAACCAACTGGCCAACATGACTCTGCAGCACAATTACAAACCGCACTTTCTGAACAAGGACGGCTGACACGATTCTGCTATTTCGACTATAGCTCAACAACAAACTTCTATCATAAAAATCCTTAGCCAATTGTCCCTCCAAGTACAGGAATTAAGCTCCAAAATGCCGTCTCTCCTCCTCCAAAACCTAACCTACCTGCTGGTTCTGCAGCTTCTTCCAGGTCTCCCATGTCCATAGACGTTGTTTTTGGCCATTGAGTTTTGCACTCTTGCTGCTGAATCTGGTTCGAACGAGACAGCCCTCAATGGGGAGTTCCAACATTTCTTAAATGTAAAACTAAAAAATGAATTAGTCTGCCGAGAGGAACCAGAAACCTTGGACCAGCTAATTAATCTCGCCATCCGAATTGATAATAGGCTCAGAGAAATAAATCGTCAGAGAAATGTCACTCCTCCACATGCTGCTTATGCTATGATGACTAGTCCTCAGTCTCAACCCCGGTCACCATCTCCTGAACCCATGCAGATTGGCAGAGCTCGGCTCTCACCCGAAGAAAGGCAATGGCGGTTGACATCTGGGTGTTGTCTTCACTGTGGCTACTCCGGTCATTTAATTTCCACCTGTCCCGTTCGCCCAAAACAACCTCCATTTAAGTTTTAACCATTTAACTTGCCTCCTCATTGGCCTTATGGTTGTCCTATCAATCTTCTTCCAGGTGCCCCACTTCCCTCTGGCAGATTATACAACTTATCTAGACCCGAACGTCAGGCGTTGATGAACTATATTAACAGTTCCCTTGAAGCAGGGAACTGTTAATATAGTTAACTCCTCATCTCCTGTTGGGGCAGGATTCTTCTTTGTTGAAAAGAAAGACAAAACTCTTCGTCCATGTAGATTATCGATTACCAGATCAGTCAAGAACAAATACTCTATTTCGCTCATATCAGCCACTTTTGAACCGTAAGCAAAGCCACCATTTCCACCAAGGTTGATCTCCAAAATGCCTACCACTTGGTCCGTATTCGTGAGGGGGATGAGTGGAAAACTGCTTTAAAGACTCACATTGGTCATTTTGAGTATCTGGTCATGCCGTCTGGCCTTTCTAATGCTCCCACAGTTTTTCAGGCCTTTGTTAATGATGTCCTGAGGGACTTCCTTAACGTCTTTGTTTTTGTCTACCTGGATGATATCCTGAATTTTTCCAAAGATCTAGAAGAACATAAAACCCATGTAAGAAAGGTTCTTCACTGCCTGCTAGAAAATCGCCCGTATGTCAAAACAGAAACATGTGAATTTCATGTGCCTTCAATCTCTTTTCTTGGTTTTGTTTTTGAGGGAGGACAGGTGAAGATGGACCCAGCCAAGATCAAGGCGGTGATGGACTGGCCTACTCCTGAAACCAGAAAACAACTCCAGCAGTTTCTAGGGTTTGCCAATTTCTACAGGAGGTTCATATGGAATTTCAGCATCATAGCCGCTCCTCTCTCTGCCCTTACCTCCACCAAAAGTCTTAGGAGGAAAAGGTAAGAAAAAGCCTTGACACAGCTCAGCACACAATCCTGTGGGCCCAACAGTACCCCCGCCCCCACCCCCCTCAAGGGATGCCACCTGGCGGACGAGCAGAAGAAGACGTCAGAGATAAGCGCAGGATCCAGAATGAAAGAGCGCAGAACCCAAGACTGCTGCTCTGGGCCACAAAGGGCTGGAGGACACTGGCTTGACTTGGGACACATGAAAAACGGGATGGACTTGAAGGTGAGAGGGGAACCCTGGAGCTGAGAATGCCTTTTATGAGCTAAAGGCTCTATTCTCTAAGGCACTCATCCTAATCCATCCTGATCCCTCAGCTCAATTCATCATGGAGGTAGATGCATCAGATACTGAGATTGGGGCTGTAGTCTACCAGCAGTCCACAGCAGATATTAAGCTCCACCCGTGCACCTTCTTTTCAAAACTCCCAGTGATGGTTTGGACTGACCACAAAAATTTGTCCTACCTCCAAAATGCCAAGAGATTGAACTCCTGGCAGTCCCGCTGAACTTTGCTCTTCTCCAGGTTCAACCTAAATATCACATATCATCCTGGGTCACGTAACATTAAGCCAGATTTCCTGTCCAGACAGTTCACCTCTGATGACTCCTCTAAAACCCCTGAGCCCATCCTTCCACCTTCCTGTGTGGTTGGGGGGCTATTTTGGAGCTTGGAAAGAGCCATTGAAGCAGCCTTGAAGGCCAAACCCGATCCAAGGGGGGGTCCTCCCAACCGCCTTTATGTGCCGGCTAGAACCTGTTCTCAGGCCATCCAGTGGGTGCATTCTTCATGGTTCCCTTGCCACCCAGGGGTTAGCCGTACTATCGGAATGCTCCGCTGCTATCTCTGGTGGCCTTCTCTCAACAAAGATGTGTTAGAGTTTGTCTTAGCCTGTCCCACATGTGCACGTAGACAGAACCTTCACTGCCCTGAACCGTACAGCTGCCCAAAACAAGAAGATTGCAGACTGCAGACACGTCCCTGCTCCAGTTTATTCTCCTGGACAACAGGTCCTGCTCTCATCTAAAAACTTTCCTCTTAAAGAGTGCTCCCAAAAGTTGTCCCCAAGGTTTTTGGGCCCATTTCCTATCCAAACTGTTATAAGTCCCACCACTGTCCGCCTGAGGCTCCCCTCTCACCTTCAAGTCCATCCCGTTTTTCATGTGTCCCAAGTCAAGCCAGTGTCCTCCAGCCCTTTGTGGCCCAGAGCAGCAGTCTTGGGTTCTGCGCTCTTTCATTCTGGATCCTGCGCTTATCTCTGACGTCTTCGTCCGCCAGGTGGCATCCCTTGAGGGGGGTGGGGGTACAGGATTGTGTGCTGAGCTGTGTCAAGGCTTTTTCTTACCTTTTCCTCCTAAGACTTCAGCCCAGGCAAGCCTCCAGCTGGTTCCAATTAGACGCAATCAGGGAGCAGTATTTAGAGGAGTGGATTCCCTGGGTAGGACGCCAGTCGGTTAAAATTCCACATAGTGGTAACCTACCTGATAGCTCCATCTAAATGAACATTGTGCCTAAAGACTCAAGCTTACCTTTTTGTCCTCCTTCTCTCCTAGAAGCGCTGCTGTCTCCAAGCCGGTTCTCCACTCAGTCCTCCTGGATCCATCCTCGAACGCTCACCTGCCTGTCCACCCTCTGGAGCTCTCAAGCCATAAACCATATCTCAGGCAAACTCAATCCCTGTGGCCTCACCAACCTTCTCCCTGTCCGCTCCTCTCTCCAAGGAACTGTAAGAAATCAGCATATTCTCTTAAAAACTCAGTTCCTCCGCCAACGTTCTAACAAATCTCTCTTCCCGTGCAGTTCCAGTCTAGGCCTCAGTTCTCCGAACCACCACGCCGGACAAAATCTCTCTGTAAAATCTCCAAATAAACATATTAAAATGTTTCCTATTGTGTCTGCACCAGAGTCTGCTCTAGAATCATGTCAACGCCAGTAATGAACTTTGGTGAGTGTTGGAGAAAGAATTGGAAATAAAGTTTAGCCATCTTTTGGAGAAAAAGCTGTTATGAAATTTCTTAATTTCTTCACACTTATGTGGCACAGTTATACTAACACACGGCAAGACAGCTCAGTGTGTCTGCAGCCTTACCCTGGCATTGGTAAAATACTTGGATTGACAGAGTATTGTTTTGAGTGTGGCAAATAAAACACTTGAAATTGTGCACAGGTGCACAGTTCATCTGAGACCATGAGATGAATTGTGTATGACAAGACTAAACAGAAACTGACAAAAAGAAACATCCTGTCTGATTCTTGAGAGGCTCCTTGGGTTTGATCCGCTGTCTTGTTAATG